CCCCCCCCCCCCTCCCTCCCTCTCTCTTCTGCACAGATCCCCATTATGTAGATGGGTATAAAATTGATGTGTACGCATGCCCACGAGGTTGGAGTCTTGGAGACTTTAGAATGGCCTGGCAATAAATCCCACTGGTTGAGAGTAACCAATGCTACCAGCTGCTGAACGCCTTTGTCTGGTTTTGTCTTATGGTTGTTATAAATTGACAATCTATACAATTATTTTTATGAAAGTTTGGGTGAAAATTTCAATAACTCAAATACTTATTTTTCCATGACTGCTACTTTAGAAAGACGTGAAAGTTTGCATTGATCTGTCTTCTTGCCAAGGGAAAAGGTCCCATCCTGATGGTCCTCAGAATAAAATGAAGCCAGGGCTGTTGACTCGCGCTTAGGCGAACCAAAAACGTTTTCCAAACATTTCTCTTCGATGGCCTATGGTCATCCTTAGGGGAAGTTTTTTTTTTTTTTTTGGGGGGCGGGGGGGAGGACACTGATTTTTCACCTATTTTGGGATCACTCCCGTCCCTCCACTGTTGGACACCACCTCATATTCCGTCAACAATCACCATATTCACCGCCATGAGAAAGTTAAGGTAAGACCTTGCAGCCACAGCTCCAGCATTCTGTTCAAAAGCTTCAAATATTTTGGAGTGACCTCGGCACGTAAGCCAAGCAATACGGTTCTTGGGCGCATCGCTCGAGACTTGCGGCCACAGCGCCGACATTTTGATGCTCTCAGACCCACCAAGGTATCACACAAGCAGGCAAACACAAAAACACGCCTACTGAGGTTCGTTGAATTTATTTCCTTACCAGAAATATGAGTTTCACGGCAGCGATGCTCCAACATTTTGATGCTCTCAGACGCACCAAGGTATCACACAAGCAGGCAAAGCAAAAACACGCCTACTGAGGTTCGTTGAATTCACTTCCTTACCAGAAATATGAGTTCGCGGCAGCGATGATCGATCTCACAAATCCAGCGCATCACTGTCGACTTGAAGAGTGCATCCCCATTGTCCACTGACAAATCACACTTCACATTGTTGCGCCGTTCCACGAAAGAAATCAAAGGCACTCGGGCTCGAGGAATGAAGTCAATGATTCTGTTACCTGACAACACATTCCTCACCCCAAACAATGACACAGTTCATCCGAGATGCAAGCCTCCACGTTTAATAAAACTGGAAGTCTGAATCGCTGAACATTGACCCAGTCCCCTAAAATACCAGCACAATAGATTACAAAGGCTGACAAGAAGCCTCGACAATGAGCCAAGATCAGTCAATTGAAGAGAAGGCAATGGACCTTGTTCCAGCACTCACTACTGTGAGAAAAATGGCGATTGTATATTTTCCACTTACTGTTTCAACACAAGGCCATCACAGCATCTTGCCCACAAGAGAAAGAATCAGGGTATGAAAGAGGAAGGAATGGGAGCAACAGCAGCTTTCGTTTTATTCCTCCGTTTTCTCTATTGACTCAGTATTGAGCAAAATGAAGGCGGTAAGCACAAGGCCCCTTTACGGTGACTTTGCAAGAAGCGGTAATGACAAACCCCACTTGCTGCATAAGCCATGCATGGCATGAGACACGCAGATGGTGAGACAGAGCAGTAGGAACTCCAGGAAGATTTCGGAACCTACTGGCTGCACTTCATCAAAATCTGGATGGAGTCTTCCCAGCTACGGTGAGGCAACCGCTCGAAAGCTTCCTTTTCTAATCACAAGGATCAGCAGGAAAATTTGCCATCTTGCAGAGCCTGATGCCTGCCTTTGACACAATGGCGATAGCGATAGTGATTTAGACATCTATACAACTCAGCTTTCACAGAGGGTATTGTTTAAGAGCACATACTCACCAGATCTCACCAGAGCGCGCATGATAACCCTAAGCATCTTCACTTTCTCACTCTTCGTGAAGCCACCAGTCTGCCATTTCCTTGATTGTATCTCCAGTGAAAGGTCAAGGTCCCCATCAGGCGTGAATATGTTCGACTCGAACGATCCAAATGGTACCACAACACCACCTGAAACAAGCATAAAAGTGACTGTCAAGCGCCAGTTCCAGACTGTGCGTGTGATGAGAGCATCCTTCTATTCTTGTCCACCCACATGCTTCAAACAAGCATTGCTTCCTCACGAGCATTGTTCCTTACGTGCATTGTTCCTTACGAGGATTGTCCATCACCAAAGCCGCGTGTAGAAATGAGAGACTACACTTAGTTTTTTTCCTTGAGATAATTTTTTTACTGCAGCAAGAAAGAGGTCATATTACAGTGGATGCGCCGATAGGTTGGCTAGGGTTTATGCCTTTTACTGGTAGGCTTTTAAGGTTTTAGCAAGGATAGCAGCAACTAAGTCTGACAGGATTTAGAGTTTTAGCAAAGAGGACTGACTGCCAGGGGGCCAAAGCAGCAGTTCTAGCAAGTAAGGAAAATACGACAGTCAAGGAGCTGAGAGGAACAGGCTGGAAGCGGGGCCCAAGTAGGCAAGCTACAAGTACCAAAGCCACGGGGAAGTCAGACTAGCAACAAAGGGCAGAAGCAATGTAGTTCAGGCTGACTTAGGCAGGGGTAAGGGGTGGTACATCCTTCCTTCGGGAAGTAGTCAACAACGTCCTTCGGGCCTCCCCACCATAAGGGAGAGGAGCGTGTGTCAGTACTCGTTGTCATTCTGTCTGACTTGCAGGTGGAATATGAACTAGACTGATGCTATTGAAATCTGTAATCCTCGGGTGTAACCAACACCGTCCTTTGGGCCTCCCCAACAAACCAAGGTAAAAAAGAAGAAGAGGAACGATACAACAAGCAGCCAGGAGGGTGACATCCGCCACTATGTCATCAATTTTTGACAGTTGAGTTGCACTCCAGAGACACAAAGTAAAACCCGTCTGAATCATGTGTGTTCACAAGAATCACAAGACAACAACGCAAACCTGCCTTTCATTTGTTATGGAACCATACATGTGCCGCACCAGATGCGTGCCAAGTGCCCGCATGCAGAGCACAGCCCTCAATGCACAGGCACGCCCCTTGTTGGGCCTGCGAATTTATTTATTTATTTATAAAATTTTATTTACATATTTTCAAATTTTCACAAAGCAGGTCCTTATGGGCCTGGCTTCATATCCATTCCGAGGAGCGTCAGTCCGGTTCCTTTTCCACCGGCAAGTCATGATTTTTTATTTTTTATTTTTTTTTGTCATGAATTTACAGTACAACTCACTCGCGCTTCCTCCTGTCTGGCCGGTGAATTTGAAACTCCCCAAATAACTGGGGAGATATCCCAGGCGCCCGGGTCCCGACGTCACGCCCAGTTTGGCGACCGGGTGACCGGCCGGGCATGGGCCCGGGCAGCCCCGGCGCGGAAAAAAAAAAAAAAACTCCAAAAAATTCTGAAAAAAAAAAAAATGTTGTGTAGAATTGAAAATACAAACAACTTTTGGCTGAGGGTCACATCAGAATTCCTCACGAAACTGAAGATTAAAAAACAAAAAACAAATCACACTAAGGAACCCCCCTTTAAACCCCTTCCCCCCCTTTAAAATTCATTTATACTCCCCTTCCCCCCCCCCTTGACAGCCAACTCTCAAAAAAAAAAAAGAGTCCGGATTTGGGCTCCTCTCGGAGAGCGTGGAAAAAACCCCACCGCCATTTTTTTTATTTGTTTTTTTTATTGTTTTTTCCCCATGCCCGGGTATCCCGTGGGTCAAGCCCCGGTGACCGGCCGGTCATGAAAATCTTCCAAGCAAAATAATTTAAAATTTTGAATTGAAGAATATCCTGCCGTGTCAGACAAGGAAGACCACCTGGCCACACCGATCAATTGAGAGATGTTATCCTCACAACACAAACCCACCACTCATTGACTATGACCTCCCAACTGCTCTCATATTCGCTGATGATCTTACAGTACGGATCCAGGCCTCTGAATGATTTGAAGCCTGGATAGGGCAAAAAACAAAAGGCAGGTGGCTGTCTTACGAACGGCCTCCCAACCAGAGGGCCTGTCAGCAAACAATGCCCTGGTCCTCCTCCGCAAAGGAGGCACTCCAGTACTTGGGGATCATGGTCAACCAGGACAGGAAGATCATGGTCAATAGGGACAGGAAAGCCAGGGACCGGACAGAACGTGCCATCCAAAGCACACATGACAAGCTTCCCTCCACGGCAGTGCTCTAATCATTAACACGAGCTGTCTTCATCCTGTAGTACCCGGCATCAATCTGGCCCCCACCGCATGAAGGACCTGATGACAAGAGCCAGGCGTTTTCTATGGACGGATTATTCGTACAAACAAACCTGCATCGCAAAGGTGGGTTGGCAGTTCATCACTCGGAAGCTCAGGGCTGAGGGACTCGGTCTCATAGATCCTAAACAGGAAGCCACAGCCCTGCAATGAAATGGAAAATGAAACTTCTTTATACAAACAGCACTTACTCTTGGTAAGATTAGCACTTGATTAGTGTCAGGAAACTCCACCCCGGCCACAATGTCAGGTAGTACGGAAGCCACCTTCGGGCCAATGGCTAGACGATCAAAAAAGGGAGAACGACCTACAACGAAACCCACGGCCAACCACACCCAATCCCCACACTGGGCTTCTCTCTTCCGCGCGTGGAGAAAGATTCTCCAAGAGAAGAGCCGCAGACGATTGGACAAAAGAGAGATGCCCGAGCAAACCGCTTCTGTAATAGTCAGATTTTAGTCCTCACTGTGGTTCTGGACAGCATGTACGATCTGGAATTTCTGGACTGCTCTCACGCAAAGCGTGCAGTACTCCTCCTCGGGTTACCAACGAGGCTGGAAATCCCTCGTCCTGTAACCAACGTGCACCACAGATGGCTTGCATGGGTCGAGAGGGAAGAACCGAAGGTGCAGCGCCTGTGGTCAGATGAGAGGAAGGAATGGCTGTCTGTACTGAAGAGAGAAACTGAAGGAGGGCGAGAAGCTGAAACAGGATATCACTTGGGAGCAGGGCTATTGGGGCCTCTGTATCACTGAAATAGTCCAAACATGGACCTCAGATGAAGATACATTGTCAATTATAGGCTACATGGCGAGGTTGAGATTCTCCCTGGTTAGGCCCCACCACAACCGCCATCGAACCTGAGATCCTAAAAACTTTCTACTCTGTGAAGTAAACCCTGGGAAATTCTTGTACCATACAAAAACATTGCAGAATTGCACTATGACCCTCATGAATGGCACTGGATCCAGAAAACCAGAAAAAAAACACAATACAATTGCAGAACATTTAGTAAAATCCGGATAACAACTAGGCCTGAAATGGAACATCCTGTCCAAGAAAACCAAGAAGAGATGCAGACGCCTCAAACTTAAACCAACCATCCTTCAGATTCAATTGAGATCTCATAGGACAAGTATCAACCACTGAAATCAACTCGAGTTTGCAGTCTTCAGGGGGTACTGCATATGTAGCACTCCCAGTTGTTTGTATCATACTTGCGGCGCATATGCGCGGTGCGCCATGCGCCATGCGGTGCGCTCATCGCTGATGCGCAAAAAGGGAAAAACAAAAAAAAAGAAGACGAAGAAGCTTCCGAGATGCATGTATACACGAGAGAGAGAGAGAGAGAGAGAGAGAGAGAGAGAGAGAGAGAGAGAGAGAGAGAGAGAGAGAGAGAGAGAGAGATGAGAGAGAGAGAGATGCAAGGAAAATGAGCGATAGCGAACTCCAGAAACCAAGCAGCATCTTACACATGAAACCAGATAGTCGTGACCTCGAACCAAAAGCAGAATTGCAACACGAGTTCCACCAAATAAGAGCACAGCAAAAGCTCTCAAGTGACAATGTTGGAATAGTCTCATCATCATCAACAAAGAACCAATGTCGACATCCTATCTGGCGCTCTGCGCCCAGATTACAAATGGCAGATCCTATTTAGCCTATCTACAATGCCGCTGGTGACGTCAACATCTCCCCGAAGTACGAGCAGATCGCTTCAAACACCAGGTATGTCTCTCGCATCACTCACAAACTCGATCCCCCACTCACAGATGCCACATGCACCCAAGGACCACCATGCGCCCCATCCAGCATAGCGCAGGGCAGCTCGGCTATGGCTGCCTGCTCTTCCAGCTCGCCCGTGAGAGCGTGAGCCTGGCCAGCGATTAGCGCAGCATGCAGCCAGTGCCCGAATGCTTAATGCGAGGGCAGGCACTTTCCTAAATGGAAGTGGCCTGCCTGCTGCGCGGATGCGCTGGGCCCCTGCCCAGAAGCTTCCGGTAGGCCCCGGTCCAAATGAATCAGGCCCAGGGCCTGTGATGGTTGCCTGTGCCCAACTGCCTGCAGACCTGTGTTCGGCCCTTGTTGTGTATCTGGCCCAGGGCCTGCCTCACTTACGTACGAAAAAGGCAGCCAGGGCCTGGGCGCTCTCAACCAACTGGCGCTGCGCAACTGCCTGAATTTCCCCAGTTGCGTGGTAGCCGAAAAATAGGCCTCTTGGCCTCGGTCGGGCCTGCCTTCACTTAGGGCGGCCGACTGTGCTGCTTACAGGGGAAAAAGGGGGCTCATCGGGGCCTTATGCCTCACATTCCCTCCTCCATACTTCGACAGTCCTCTGAGAAGTTCCATTACTCAATCGGCGCTTTCCCTTGTGCAGTAACTTCTCGCAGTGAGCGACAGCCTGTGGAGCGGTCTGCATCAGTTCCTCCCGGGTAAACCATCTGTCCTCCTTAGGGTCAATGTGATGTCTGAACCGCATGCGATATTGCAGCTTCGGCTTAGGAGGACGTCATCTGCCTGTCGGTCTTGGAACTGGCATTTCCCTATGGTCCACGATGTCGTCGATGTTGACCTCTCCATCCATGGTTGGGGGCAGCATTGAACGTCGCGAGGGAAACTGATCAGTTTCCTCGAAAGATGCAAGCTTGGAGGCGTGAAAGACAGGGTAAGTGCGAAGGTGACCAAGGATCTGAACTACATATGACGGCCCATCCGGGTCATCCCCGACAATATCTAGAAGTTCCCAGGGTCCAAAGTACTGTGGCATGAGCTTGCGGGA